TAAACTCGTTTGCTATTTATTACAAATTATTTATTGAAATTAGACTACTTTTTTTACCTTAACAATGATTTTTAGTATCAAATCATTACTAGTATCAAATAATTAGATATTTAGTAAATCAACTATTTTAAATCATTAGTATCAAATAATTAAATATTAACAATAAATCCTTATTAATAATAATTAGTAAATCATTGATATCAAATCATTAAATATTTAAAAATCATACATAAATTCGACTATGTATAAATTTAAACTCAGTAATCCACACTTGTACACTCATTTGTTAGTATTCTAAATAATTATTATAAAATCATTATTATAATGATTATTATCAAATCATTACTAAATCATCAAATCATTAAATATTTAAATCATTATTAAATCATTTTTATAATGATTATTACTAAATCATTATTATAATGATTATTATCAAATCATTACTATAATGATTATTATCAAATAATTACTAAATCATCAAATCATTAAATATTTAAATCATTATTAAATCATTATTATAATGATTATTATCAAATCATTACTATAATGATTATTATCAAATCATTACTAAATCATCAAATCATTAAATATTTAATTCATTATTAAATCATTTTTATAATGATTATTAATAAATCATTATTATAATGATTATTATCAAATCATTACTATAATGATTATTATCAAATCATTACTAAATATTTGTTCATTAAATATTTAAATCATTATTAAATCATTATTATAATGATTATTATCAAATCATTACTATAATGATTATTATCAAATCATTACTAAATCATCAAATCATTAAATATTTAAATCATTATTAAATCATTTTTATAATGATTAATAAATACATAGAAATACATATATGATTACTAATGATGAGGCCTATATCTTGGTAAATTAGGACAATTGTTTTTTGAATGGCCTTCACCCCTACATAATCCGCATCTCTTTGCTTGACCTCTCTCTATAGCATGAAAATCCATACTGGTATGAATTCGAGTGGACTCAGGTCGACCCTTTGGACTTCTGCGAAGCATTGGATTTGGTAGCCATTCATCATGATCCTTTTTGGGCCAATATGATTCATTCGGGATCTGTCTGAACACATAGCTGTAGACATTTAATATCCTACGTAGGTGGAAGCATTCATCAACATAAGTGTATGCGCTTACACCAGCATACATACAAGCAGCGACTGCATGAGCACATGGATATTTCCATGCCTGAAAACGACCACAATCACACCATTTGTGTCGTAAATCAACTCTAAATGTTTGGTCTTCTCCTCCGACGTTACGACGTATGCACGACACGACAAAAGTATGACCAACTCGGTCGAAATTATGAACAACCATTGATGTTGCCAATCGCTCATTTGCTTCCATTGATTCCACCACTGTAGGAGCCCAAGTTTTACCTCTATTTATGAGACTCTCAATTTCCTTGCCTTTGTCCGACCAAACTTTACCCAGTCTAAAGTACGTCTCTTTCACCACACTCGCTATTGGGAGATGGCGTGTACCTTTTAGTACCGAATTAATGGCCTCAACAAGGTTTGTGGTCATATGTCCGTATCTCCGACCTTCATCGTATGCTTGCGACCATTTTTCCCGCGGTATTTTTGAAGCCCACTTCCAAACACGCTGATCATCGTAAAATACCTTCAAATTCTCCAATCTCTTGTCAAAATTTGGTCGACGTAGTTCGTATCCTGTTCCATAATATATTGTGTTAAACCGCAATTAAAAAAACCACGTAAAAAATACACAAATATTGAAAATAAAACTTACCCATGCTGACTATCTCGCTACGAATATGTGCGTTATGAAACTGGTCGATACTATTCTTGCCAATATGACGGATACAAAATGTCGGATATGCATACGGAGGTATCCAACGACTTCCTGGTCGTTCAATTGCCGCCAAAATACCCGTTCCTCTATCGGATATCAAGCAAACTCCATCTTCACGAACGACATATTGACGTAGATTGGTCAGAAAGAAATCCCAAGCCTCTGTTGTCTCTCCCTCAACAATGGCGAATGCAATTGGGAAGATATTTCGCTCACCATCTTGAGCAACTGCCATCAAAAGTACATGCCTATATTGACCATACAACCACGTACCATCTACTTGGATCATATGTTTGCAAAATGGAAATCCTTCAATACATGCCTTGAATGCCCAAAATAGTCTATGAAATATTTTCTTCCCTGGCAGAAGTTGACCTTCTTCGTCATATGCGGGCATGGTTTGAGACTTCACTATAGTTCCTGGGATAAATCGCTTCATTGCTTGTAGCAAATGTGGTAGCTCATTGTACGATGTATCCCAATCTCCATACGTCAACTTCATTGCCTTCATTTTCGCATTCCACACCTTGCCATATTTTACTTGATATCCAAATTGGCTTCGAATAGATGCAGCTAACACTGAACAAGATATCCTTGGATCCTTTTCAACCATCGCCTTCACGTATTCACATATTACATCGGAGTCCAATAGTCGGTGGTCTTGTTCGATGGAGTTTCGCAAACATGTGTGCGAACCATTGTACCTCGTGATGACCCAAACATCGTGCCTTTGATTTTTCGACACTCTGATCTTCCACTTGCACTCTGGGCCATATTTTACACACTTTACGTATAGGGTTTTCTGGTTGGACTCTGCAACATGGACATCAACATGGCATTTAATGCAGTACTCTTTAATAGCCAGCGTAGCTTCATTTTTTCCTCTGAATTGCACCCCAACTGAAAATTCACCAGAATTATCGAATGATTCAGTCATTTGGTACGGAGGTAAATGTGGCATGTCTGGGAATTCAGGTGCCCTCATTGCATCATAATCTATCTCGTACATGTGAGGAGTAGCTTCATACGGTGTCGGAACTTCATCAATTGCACCTCCACCAAAAATATTTTCGTCGCCGCCCAAAACGGGTTCTTCAGTTTCTTCATCTTCGCTTGAATCATCATGAATTTCTCCCCATCGATTTTCAGCGTCAATATCAACAACCAATTCAGGTATGTTTCTCGTCTCATACTCTGCTGCTATAGATGTCCCCCCGACTTCATTTACACTTTCCAATAGTGCCATAAAACTGTTCGGGAACCTGTATGTCGGCTCCTCAAACTGACTATATAAAGCCATTTCAGATGGATTTTGAGCCACACCTCTTGATGACCCAGGAACATCACATATGTTACGCACATCAACAAATAATTCAATAACTGCTATATTGGTTGACTCATGTAATCCAACCATGGTTCCAATATCATCATCTTCTTCAAGTGGAACTGCAGCATATCTGACTGGGTTAGAGCATATCATAAACCTATACCTCAAACCATCCACTGCAGCTCGAATTTTTCTTTCTATCTTATGCTTCATTTCTATAAATGTGATGTCTTTTTTGAACATCATATTTATTGGTTTTTCAGACTGAAAAACTACTCCGACCTCATTTTCCATAATCTGTCCATTATAATGGACAATCGTGAAAAAGTTGTTGCTCATTTTCTCTACAAATAAAAAAATAAATTAATTTAGATTAAAAAATTAGATAAGATAATTTCATAAATTATTAAATATAATATAATATACTATTATATTAATGATCAAATAAAAGTTATTATTTAACTTGATTGATTGCTTACTAATAAACCTAATAATGATTTGATAATTACTATTAATCTAATGATTTGATATTTAATGATTTAATAATAATATGATTTAGTCATAATCACTAATAATTATTTATTATAAATATTTAATGATTTAGATTTGATACTAATCATTTAGTAATTATTACTAATAATAATGATTAGTTTGATAATATTTTTTTTTAAAAATATCAAACAAATTTGTTAGGCAAAACTGTCGAGATAATGTTCTCAAAATAATTATTTCGCGAGATAATGCGTTGTCCGGATTATTTCATTCAATTAATTTTTACTTCTTACTAATATACACATACAATGTAAATTAAACAAAATATTTTTTAAACAACACTAAATATTTTTAAACACAATATTTTTTAAAACGGAAATTATCTCGCACAAATTAGTTTATATAAATCTAATATAAACTTACTAACTAACTAATTTACACATACACAACAACAAAAAATGGACAACAAAAAATAATAAATTACTCACGTCTTTATGCCTTCTTCCTTTACTTTCTTTTCCTGCCTTGTTTCTTTCTTCGAATCAATCTGTACGTGGGCAAATATTGTAAAATAATGTCATGTATGTGTAAACAAAATATTTATTTAAACAACAATAGCTCCCACAAATTAATTTTATATAATCTAATATATTATAATATACCTTAAAGTAATAAACTATTTCTTTATTATAATATAACTTAGTTAAAATAACAAACTAATTAAGCACTAATTAATTTTATTATAATATAACTTCAACTTCAACGAACAACCTAATATACGTTTAAAGACACTAACAAATTAATTAATATTTTTTATATTTAATAACTTAAACTAAGAAACTAATTAACTAATTTTTTATATAATATAATATATAACTTAAACTAATAAACTAATATAATATAACTTAAACTTACAAACTAATAATTTATACTAACAAACTAATTAACTAGATTTTAGTTTTAAGTTGCACCCGAAACTAACAAACTAATAATTTCATATAATAAACTAAATTAAACAATAAAAAAATTACCTCAACTATGTTTGAGCCTTTATCTTCTTTTCTTCTTCTTCCTTTTATTTCTCTCGGCAAAATTTATATGTGCTGGTTCTGCTTGTGCTTCTACCCTATACCCCATATCCTTTATATAAAACAACTGAGCGTTAACTATTGAGCATTGAAAGGCTCACAGCTAAATTAACGCTGCAATAACGTAATTATAGATGCAACACATACAGGTACGGGTGCAGGAATCTCTGAGCTATGAGCTATGATGCAACGCATGCATGCAAGCTATGAGCTATGATGCATGCGCAGCAGGACCTTGGTCGCCGAGACTCCATGGCGACCACCGTGACCATCCCCTCCCCATGCATTCCCACCCCATGCATTCCCACGTCCAATGCACCATCCCCTCCCCCATGCATTCCCACCCCATGCATTCCCACGTCCCATGCATCCCCTCCCCCATGCATTCCCACATCCCATGTTGATCCCTCCCCCATGCATTCCCACCCCATGCATCCCCTCCCCCATGCACGTCCCATGTTGATTGCATGTCCCATGTTGATTGCATGGCCCTATTCTGTAATACACACAGGTCGCCCGGATGCCATGGCGACCTCCAAGGTCGCCCGGATGCCATGGCGACCTCCAAGGTCGCCCGGATGCCATGGCGACCTCCAAGACCACTGTAGAATTCACCCCATCCCAGCAATTAATCTGGGATGTGCACCATATCGTGAAAAAAAAAATCGAGAACATTATCTCGTGAATTCACCCCTAGTAATCTATATAATAAAAAGAAATGTCATATTTTAAAATTCTAAGTAGTTGTATTTAGAGTATATGTAATTATTAATTGGTTAAAAATTAAATAAATATTAATCTATAATTATTTTTAAATTATTCAAAAAAATATTGTTTTTCAAAATTTTCATGAATTTTATATATTTTTTATTTACTATTTTTTAAATATTTTTTTGATGGCTAAATATTAAATTAATTAATGCTGGTCAAAGGTTACATTCAAGTGAAGGGAGACAAAACGGCTGAAATGAATGTTTTTATATAATTAAATTAATGGCCGGAAAGAGGGGAGAATTCTTAGAAGTTTTATGTATGCTTTTGTGGGCGGAAAATAGAGATGAAAGCTCACTCATGTCGACAGACTCTAGTTCATTTTTCAACTGCAATCCTTTCGGATGACGTAAATAAGTGATCAATTGAGACAATATTTCACTCATGGAACAATTGAGGCCTAAATATATACATACAGATACAAAATTTTAAAAATAAGGTATAAAAATTTTAATTTTCTTTTTATAAATGAATGGATATACAAATTCTTTTATTTTTTTTATCTTTTCCTAAATAATAGGGATCCACTTGACCCCTATAAGAACTTAGTACATACGTCTATGATGATTTTTAAATTAGATTTTTTTCAAGTTTGTAATTAAAAAAGTTATTCCCAAGTCGATATCTAAATTTTGATTTCATCCATTTTTTTAGTATTTTTAATATATTTTTTAAAAAAAATTAAAGGTTTTATTAATAAAACACATGTGAAAAAAAAATCATCATTGGTAGATGCCGTAATGTTATGATGTTATATTTTAGGGATGGTAATAGGTAGAGTTAGGATCGGGTTTTTGGTCGACCTGACCTGACATGAAAATATGTATCTTCTAACCGAACCCGACCAATCACAAAGTTATATATCCTTCATCTGACTACGACCCAACTTGAAAATATATATCATTCACTCGAGTCCGACCTGACCCAAATTTTTAGAGTATAAATTCGACTCGACCCGATATAAAATAAGAACTTAATTAAAATAATAATATTTTTTTTAAAAAAAATTACATGAATTGGGAACCAGGCGTGATATCATCCCATTAATTAGGAATTCAGCTTTTGTTTTAAAAAATGAGATAATTACTCCCTTAGTCCTTCCACATTTGGTCCAGATTAAATACACGCTTTTTATAACTTGTTGGGCTCATCACAAGCCCAAATAAAATGCTACTTGGGTTAACTCTTCATGGGCTAAGAGGATTTATTCTAAAGTCCAAATCAAATATTCCCAAAAATTCTAACCCATGATTTGAGGTGTTACAAAATGTGTCCACAAGTACGAGGGATGTAATTAGAGGGTTCGTGTGTCACACTTGAAGATGATGAACAACCTATGAAAGTTGACAAAATACGACCAACCTCATACATATACCTCCAGCAGGCTCACTCAAGATCATCCAAACTTAGATGTTCAAGTGCTTTGTGATGCCTTCATATCATTGGTCAAAGTAAATCAACGTATAATAGTTTCCAATTGTATTGCTACAAATACATCTCAATATGACTAAATAGTTAACTACAATAAGCATGATGTTCTAGTTATCATGCTCAACAAAAAGTGTATAGTCAATGGGAAAAATCATACAAAGAGTTGCGGCCATGGCTAAAATTGATGAAGAAACACATATCGGGAACGATTATCAAACTAGAAACTGTGTTGGCATATGAAAATGATCGTGTCGTACAAGGTACGTGCCAATTTCGCAGGCTATTTTGGATATTTTCGCAGTGTGTTAATGCATTTCGCCACTAAAGCCGATGGTTCAGATTGACGACATTTGGTTGTACGTCAAATACATATAAATAATGTTGTTGGCAGTTGCACAAGACGGCAATAGAAAAACTATTCTTATCGCCTTCACAATAGTCAAAAAGGAAGATATAAACTCTTGGGAATTCTCCCTTAAGTACTTGTACAAATATGTTCTATCACATGTTTTTCGTGAGCGTTCTGGTGGGACATGTCTTATTTTTTTACAAAGACACAGGAATCAGATACGCAATTAAGCTTATGGGACCGTCTTAGAAACCTTCTCATATTTATCACCAGTACAGTTTACGCCATATTGTTGCAAATTATTTGCAAAAGTTTAGGAAGGAATATAAACATGTAATGGTTCTTCGAATGGGTACGTCTTTTACTCTTTTGGGATTCAGATATTTTTTCAGTTATTATTTATAATTAATTGTTGTATTTTCAATAGGTAGGCCACTCGAATTTCGTACGCAAGGTTTAGGAGTTGTTTCAAGAATTGAGATATATGAATCAAGAATGCTATAACTACCTTGCTAAAATCTCTATGGAGAAACGGCTTCGGTCATTTGATGGGGAAAACGATATGGTCACTTGACAACGAACTTGGTTGAGGTGATCAATTCATCACTAGAGGGAGTGCGACATTTGCCTATCACTTCCTTTGTCAAAACGACATTTTATTGGTTAGCAACTCTGTTTGCAACCTTAGGAAGGCAAGCAGCTGACTGGATTGCAGGTGGCCATAGAATCCACCCAGACCTCTATAGAAAATTACAAACCTTTCTGTAGCATTCAAATGTGATGAATGTGACATGCGTCTCTCACGAACAATATAAATTACATGTTTCATAATATTCTAGGCCATTCGAAGGCATACAATACAACACACACGTCATTAATCTACGTGAGAGAACCTGCTCGTGCGAAGTATTTTAAACATTCAAATACCAGTGTACACACGCCATTACTGCTTGTTCTTCTGTATGAGTTGACTACATGCAATTCGTTGATCTCATATACTTAATTAAAACATATTCAATATGTATTAGTACGAGTTTCCTCCTATTGGAAATGAAAGGGATCCAAATGAAGTTGATGATGAACCTACAATACGGCCAGATTTTACACTACAATGCCAAAAAAAGGGTTATATATGCTCAATGAAGATTTACTGTAACGAAGGTTGAAAGAAAAGAACCGGATAGCAGAAGTTGTGTAGTATTTGTAGGAATCCGGACACTCGAAGAACAAATGCTTAATCGATCATGTCCTCATATTGATTAGTTTGTTTTAAACAAATACATTTTTATTTTTTAAATATATAATCGAATTTAGTATAATGTTAAAATTTGTTTAAATTATTAATTTGTTTAAGTTATCCTTCAACAATACGATTTTCATTCCGTCCGAACATGCTATCAAGCATGTTAGCATCTTCTTTATGTAAAAAATAAGCTTTGGAACCATTTTGAATAAAAAATTTACACAGCTTACAATGTCTCGTATGTGTCTATATTACTCTCAATTGAAAGATAAGTTACAATATTATGCCTCTAATTTTATAAATTATACAATGTTTCATATTAACTACCTGAAAAAACCCCTTGAATATGCCTATCAAACCATTTTAGCATTTTCTTCATGCACAAACAATATTTCGAACCATTTTAACGTGATTTTTAATCCACTTACAATATCTCGTATGTCTTAAATTGGCCTCAACTGAAAGATAAATTCCAATATTACGCCTCTAATATTATAAATTACGAAAATTTTGAGATTAAATACCCGAATATTCCTATAAGCACTTGTGATTTGGGCTGGAAAACTAAAAACCTAGCTCTTTGGAAAATGCGAGGTATGTTGAATATCATTCGCGATAAATTTCTCGGGACAGTTCAATATCTCGGGAAACTCGCATTCTGCATAACGCTACTAATATTAAATTACATTATCTGAAAAGTGTGTCCACATTGGACGTGCCTCGCTCCTTGTGCAAAGCGAGGTCTTTCCTCGTGTTTTGTAAAAATCGAGATAGTCCAACGTGTGCAGTTTAGAGATATTTTTCAAACAATTCTACTGGGTTTATTTTTCAAAAAAATAATTTTTAGGGTTTTTTTTATATAATAACGCCTCGTTATATGTCTATCCTTAGTTGGATTTCTAAATTTTAAAATGTCATACTTTAAGGTTTTATAATAAAATATAACTTTTAACTTCTTCTTTTTGTAATTTTAAAATCGAAAATGGAGGGAAGGAAATTGGGTGACGAGAGTGTAAATTTTCGTAAGTTCATTTATCTTTCTGGTCAAATTCGCTAGTTAAATTCAACGTCTTAATTATACAGAATCACATCAATATTTGACATACAATCATTGTTGTTTACTTTGGCCTTTGAAAATAACCAGTTCAGAGGCCAAAAATATAAATAAGTTACAGTTTAACTGACGGCTGTTTAGTAATATTAAAGAACCCGAAAACTGTTTTTTATTTAAAGATGTATATTTTAAAATAGTATAGAGTGATTGGAATGATATATTCATATTTTTGTGATTGATTGATAAATTTTATTAATTTTTTGTTGTGAAGAAACTAAAATATATTTTAGTTAATTTTACCGATAACAAATAAACATATTTTGCACGAACTAAGCGACAGTAGTGTAAGAGTTGTTATTTTTTAAGATTTTGAGTTCAACCATTATGAATGTCAGTGATATGAACTATTGATGGACATGGGTCGAGTTGGGTCGGATTTTTGGTATACCCGACTCGAGAACAATGACTCATCCACCCAAAATTCAACCCG